TAGCTTGCTTTCCCGGCGCCAACTCCTGAGGAGATTCGGCCAGAGGCGGGGCCCAGACCATCAACAGGCAACAGACTTCGTACCCCTCTCTTTCCCTATAACCCGCACTGCTCGTCCGACACGACAAGAGGTCTGAGCATCACCCTCCTGTCGGGTCCTCCGCGGGAGCAGCGAGAGCACGACTTCACGACACTTTCATTGTCCACCGCACCACCAGCTCCCCTGGCATCCTCACGTCGTGGACGAAATCACAGTGGAATATGTGTTTCGAAATTTTCGGCATTCAGGAGCGGTCACTAGCCCCCAAAACCCTCAAGAAACAATTCAAGATGAACGGCCGGCCCCTCGGAAGATGTCCCGAGCTCTGGGGAGCCACGTGGTGAAACCACCATGGGTCGCTCAACCCTGACCCCCCTCCTGCAACCACTTTTTCCCCTTTCCACCTGCCCTGCCTCCCCCCGGGCTCCACCCCTCTTTCGGGCGGGTGGTAATGGGCGGTGACCTACATGGGGGTTTCCTTTGCTTCGCCCCCGATTTAGGTCACCCACCCATTACAACCCGCCCCGATCTCCCCTCTCCGTTTCTCTCTCTCGTCCTCTTCCCGGTTCTGGCCACTGCGGCGCTGGGTTCCTCAGTGTTGAAGCCATTAGGTGCGGAGAAGTGCACCATGTACCAGAAGAGCGAACACGTGGTGGGAACAAATTCAAGCTGACCGATCGGATACGCACGCCGCTGGTCGCGTCTTCCGAACATGGAATGGGGACGATCGAAAAAGAATGAACCCCGTGCGACCCTGATATTGGAATCATGATTGCTGACCGCATGTGTACGCACTACAGTGATGAGATGTACAACGCAATGACGTGCAAATCACTTTCATCCAACTGATGCGTCACACATCGTGCCATGGCGCTGCGTGCGCGTGCGCATCGCAGCCGCCAGCGTGGACAAAATTGAGCTTCGCGTCGAGCGGCGCGATCCTCTGACCCCATCTGCTCGAACTCCATTTGGAACGCTTGGGTATCAGTGCTCAGCCAGGGCGCGACCAAACGCCGACCTCACTTTGAACATCACTTGCGTTAAATACGGTCACAACAAAAACGAAAGCGGCGCCAGTCCCCAACCCACCCGTTTCGTTCCAAAACGTCGCACGCAAAAACGGAGACAAACAAATCTCGGGCTGGCGCCTGAAAACAACACGGGGAAACGACAACGGCATGCACAAACAACAAAACAACGTGTTGCTCGCGCCCATGGGTCACCTCAGCCACCCTCTCAGCTCCAACCCTCGGAAGAGAAACACGAACCAAAACCACCCAGAACCCATCAGTCTGGGGCCGACCCCTGGGCGGCGGCATGCACGGGCGCCCCCCCAGCACAAGATGACGCTCAAGCGTGCCACCGCCCAGGACCCTGTCCCTCACCAGAGGGTTCTCGGTGGCGGTGGTCCATGTTCCTCTTCAGAACCCCAATCTCTTTGGAGGGTGAAAGAGGGGATCTGCAACAGGGGGTCTTCAAGTGGGGCTGAATGGCCCGTGTATGCTCAATGTATCGCTCATCTATGTGACCGCATGGAGGGTCAAACGTGTGCCCGCACGTTGCCCGCGCGGGCAAACGTGCCGTCCATCCATTATCGTTCATGCATGCGGGCGTTTTTGCATATCGCGCGCGGGGCGGCGAAGTGGAGTGCAAATCTGTCTTGATTGTGCTATTGATGATCGCGTATGTTCCCAAACGATGACTTGTCGACCACCAAAACAGATTTGGAATGGGTCCCGCGATTCTCCCAAGATGTGCATTCACATTTTCTTCATTCTAAAAAGGGAATTCACGTTTTCCTTGTCCCAAAATGTGAATTCACATTCTGGCCCCGTCATAAAGATTCGTATGCAACTTCCGACATATGAATTCACATGTCCCATCTTTCCAAAAGGTGAATTCACATTTTGAGTTTTTCCAAAATGTGGATTCACACTGTGCTTTTCCCCTGCAGTGTGAATTCACATTTTGCCCTGGCCCTCAAAATCCCAAAAGTGAGGCGCAGTGTTCCGCATGTCAGATTGGGTGGGCAGATTTTGACACTCACCTCACCACTGTCGTTAAACCCAACCTCTTCTCTATGCGCCCTCAGCGCACACTGCCTTCGTCGCCTTTCCCGAGCCCCCCGCCCCCTTGCCTCGCTTACCCTCAAGTCTCGCGCATGTGTGCTGGCGGGGAGCTTCAATCGGCGCCCCCGCGGAACACAACAATCGGAGATGTATCGCCCATGCATGGCCCATGGAGACACCTCTGCCGGGACCCTGCGCCCGACCCCCCCCTTTCACCCTCCAATCTCTGCCTGCGGAGCCACCGCCGCGCGCGCCCCGCGGCGGGGCGCCCGAAGGTGGAGGCCCACATGGCGGCCAGGGCCGTGCGGGCGCGCCCGCGGCGCCCGCGGGGTGGCCACGTCGCCGCGCGCCGGGCCGCGGCCGACTGCCGGTGCGCCCCGAGGGGTTTCGCCGCGCCGCCTGCGCAAACAGACGGCGCCGCCGCCTCTGACGATGGCGGCGGGATCTACCGGGCAGGGCACGAGCCAAACAATGTTTTCCGTGTTCGTTTTCTTTTGGTTTCCCTTCGCTCTGTCTTCGTCCCGCCCTGTGCCGCAAGACGAGATCAAAACGAACACGGTCCACGAAACGCCAACACACTGCTTACAATCAACCCGTATGATACGGACGCACGATCAGGATGCAGCAAGGGCATTAGAGGACCATGCTAACATTTTTCGAACGAGGTTGGCCAGCGACCCTCGCTAAGGATGGGCCGAATGTGCGGGTTGACTGTAGCCCGCGTCCTGGGATCTACACGGATCTGCTGCCCGTGGCCAGCCAGGCCCACCCTGGGTCCAGGAGCGGAGGGGGCGCCCTCCTGGCTTGGCCAAGGGAGGCATGTCCGCCGCTCATGTGCCCGGGGTGGGCCTGGCCAGGGGCAGAAGATACGTGTAGATCCCGTCGCCCGATCTGTCTGGGGGTACGTTCACCCAGACCCTCTCGCGTCGAGGGCAAAACCGTGGCGGGAAGACGCGTTCGGCCTCATGGGTGCCCTCGCGGGCTGCCAGGACTGTCAAAGAATGGCTCGGGATAAAAAGCCCGTCCTGGGGAAGTGGTCCAGACCTCTGGGGGACCAAGCCACGATAAGACCACAACGTCGGGGGTCTCGCAAGGCGGGGCAGGAGTAGAAGTGGGGTGGATGAAAATCTGTCTAAACGGCTCCTGGAAGAAGGAAGCGTGAGCACTCGGCTGGATTCGTTCCCTGAGTCCACGTCGGGATACCCTTCCCCACTCTCCACGAACCCTCGATCTTGGAAGGCCGAAACAGATGCACACCCAGACATTCGGCCCCTCGGAGAAGGCTCCAGGATGACGGCCCTACCACCGTTTCTCGCCTCTGCGGGCCAGAATCTGGGCCTCGGGGCCAACATATACCAAACGGCTCGGGATGAAGAAACGGCCCCGGGGAAGGGGTCGAGTGATCCGGGGGTCCACGCATCGAAAACTCGAAACGTCGGAGATCCAATTACGCAGAGACCTCCCACATGGGGTCCCAGAAGATGTGGTCGGAGGATCACGCCACGTCGCCGATGCATCGGCGACGTCGGTGGTGCATTGGCGACGTCGGCGCGGAGAAGCTCGAGCTTCGAATCGGGCCGCATCGCAGATGCATCGGCGATGCGGCGCGATCCTCCGACACCATCTACTCGGACCCCATCTGGGAGGCCTGGAGTACGGCAGGGCAGGTTCGTGTCGTGACGACCTGCGCGTTGGCGTCTGACACTGCGCGGATCCTTCCTCTTCGAAAGGTCGCGGCTGTCAGGCGTAGCGCAGATGGCTCGAGAACGGCCGATTCGGGGTCACTGGCGGCGCTCGACCTTACACGCCCGCGCTGGGGTCGCCACCGCGCCGACGCGGCGCGAGCCTGCCGTAGAAGAGCAAACATCTACATCAACGTCGTCATTCCCGTCCTGATTATCATGACCAGCGTCGTCGCTATGATCACGACCATCACCGCTATCACGCCCCAACATAGTCAATCATGGCATCGATTTGCGTTCAATGCGTTGCGGTTTAGGAATGTCTCCGATACGTCATTCCAGGCAAACTTGAGACCGCAGCGCTCAACCACGTCTGCGGCAGTGGACACGGATCTCCGTGACCAGTGAAAAGACAAACTCGGCGCTCGCTCTCTGAATACTCCAACTGGTGCCGTCGTTACCACCATTATCACGTATCACATGAATGGTGCGCATGATCCCCTGTATTGTCATTGGCGCCCAATTATCGCCATGATCAACACCATCGCCTCCACCGTCATTTTCAACCGCGTCGACGTACATGCCACCATCTCTATCCAACACGACACTCGCCACAATCATCAACAAAAACATCGGCATCACGTATCCTTCTCACCGGCAACATCGGCATCACGTATCTTTCTCACCATTCAGACCCCTGGCGTCATGATTTGATCACGTGGACCTCCAACAGTCTTGACCCACTCTCCAAGACCAACTTGTCATTCTAAATCGGTTTTTGATGGTCCTAGGGCCCGGCGAGGGCCATCCGAGAGGAACCGCACAGACTTGTTCACGACGCGAGGGAATCTGGGCCTCGTCGTCTTTGTCATCACCGCTCTCCTCCACGACATCCTTCCTCCTCTTCCAAATTCCTGTGCCTCACGCTCTCAGTGGTCATGGTGCTGCACGTGTTTTGGTCGTCGGCTGATTTCGAAGCCGACCACAAGGACATCACAACCGAACATTGACCGAAACGACAACGAAACCGAAGCCGACCGAAACCGGCAGGCCGCAGGCAGCCCCAAAAAAGCGCAACGACGCGGCAACGACGCAGCAACCGACCGAGCCTGACCGAGGGAACGCGACCAACTAGGACGGTGCCGAACCGACAAAACCCCAGCCGCCCCTCAAATACTTCTCTCTTCATGGCAGGCGAAGGTTGGGACGCGTGGGTTCCTTCGCCGCTGCCTCCGCCTTCGCCGTCGTCCCTTGCTCCTCCTTCGTCTTCACCTCCGCATCCAGCTTTGCTTTCGCTTCGGCCTTCGCCCTGGCCTCCTCAGCCGTCGCCTCGGCCGCCTCCACCCTCTCGCTGGCCTCAGCCAGCGTGTTCGCCACCGCCCGCAGCTTCGCCTTGGCCTCGGCCAGCGCCTGCGCCTGGGCATCTAGCGTCGCCTGGGCATCGGCCTCCCTCTCGGCACTCACCTCGGCCTCCTCCTCTGCCTTCGCCTGGGCTTCGGCTGCTTCTGCCTTGGCCTCGGCCAGCGCCTGCGCCTGGGCATCTAGCGTCGCCTGGACATCGGCCTCCCTCTCGGCACTCACCTCGGCCTCCTCCTCGGCCTTCGCCTGGGCTTCGGCTGCTTCTGCCTTGGCCTCGGCCAGCGCCTGCGCCTGGGCATCTAGCGTCGCCTGCGCCTCGGCCTCCCTCTCGGCACTCACCTCGGCCTCCTCCTCGGCCTTCGCCTGGGCTTCGGTTGCTTCTGCCTTGGCCTCGGCCAGCGCCTGTGCCTGGGCATGTATTGTCGCAGCGGCCTCGGCCTCCTCCTCGGCCTTCGCCTCTGCCTCCTTCGCAGCATTCGCCTCGGCCTCCTTCAATTCCGCCTCGGCCTTCGCCAATTCTTGCTCCCGGAACTCCACCCTGGCCTTCGTCTCGGCCCTCCCTTTGGCCTCCTGCTCGGCCCTTGCCTCGGCCTCTTTCGCTTTCGCCTCGGCCTTCGCCAGTGCCTGCTCCTGGGCCTCCAGCCTCGCCTGCGACTCTGCCTCTTTCTTTGCCTGCGCCTCGGCCACCTCCTCGGCCCTCGCCTCGGCCTCCTCCGCCTTCCGCTCGGCCTCCTCTGCCTTGGCTTCGGCTTCGGCCACTGCCTCGGCCTGCGCCATCGCTGTCAGCTCGGCCTCCAGCTTCGCATTGGCCTCTGCCATCGCCTTTGCGTCTACCTCACTTCTCGCCCTTGCCTCGGCCTCCCTCATCGACCTCAGCTCCAGCCTCGCCTCCGACTCGGCCTCCATCATCGACCTCAGCTGGGCACTCAACAAAACATCGGCCTCTGCTCTCCGACTCGCCTCTGACTCCTCACTTGCCGCTACTTCCGCCTCTGGAGGGACACAAGGGCACCGATACCGCTACTCCCTGGACCTCTCCTGGGGTGCGTTCTGACTGACACTTCTAAGAGAATCCAGCCGTGGTGATGAGGGTACTCCAGGCTTCAAGACGAGCAGCGGTATCGGTATCTTGTCCTCCTCTGAGCCTCGCTCTGTTTTCTCACCGCAGCTTCACCCTTCGCCTGCGCCTCGGTCTCATCCTCCGCCTCCGCGCTTGAGGGCATCGGGAGGCATGGGGAGGCACAGGTCGGGGGCATCCAAGAGGGGAACGCCCAAGAAGGGTGGTCGAAAAATCATGGCCCGAGGCACGTGCGCGGCGCGGAGAGGGCCAAGGGGCGCATTGAAATAAGAAGAAGAGCCATGAGATAGGGGGGTGGGCCATGGCCCCAACCACGAGATCCCCCCCCTTAATCATGTACCCCCCCCGCTTGACCGTCCCCGAACAGGGAAAGATCGCGCCCTGGTCGCCCAAACCGGGAGCGTGCTCGCCATGTTCGCGGAGAGGGGAAGGGAGAGACAGAGAGAGAGACACACACACACACACTCACACTATACCGACACTTGTTCCGTCGCGGCGCGGCAAAGGCATATGCCGCTCGGGTACTCTAGTGGCTGGGGCAGATCGTGCGAATTGTCCGGCGGCAAGACAACGAGGCAGGGCAGAGGGCGGCCGCGGAGCGGGAGAAAGGATGAGGGCACTTTATCCACGATGACATTCAGCGTGAGCGGCTGGTGCGGCCGGCCGTTGCTGGGGCGTCCTGGCAGTGGACGTGGAGCGGCATCGCGCCCACACCCTGGGGCTGTGGCAAAGGCTGAAGGCGCTAGAAGCGTTCAACAAGTTGACACGTGTGGGGGAAGGGGCGAGCACGAAATGAACGCACCTTGTTTGTCAAAAGGGACAAGCTGCCAGGTGTTCCAGCGCACAGCGGCTGCGTGGTGCAAGGGGCCAGGACTGTGGGGCTGGCCAGCGAGCGGCTCGCGGCAGCAAGACGCTGTGAGCCCTATGAGCTGAACTGCTGAGGCTGGGCTGCAGGACTGCGGCAGATCGAGGGGACCCCAAAGATCATCCCTGAGAACTCTGACCCACAACCCAGGCACAATTGCGGGATGGGCCGAAGGCCAATAGATATTAGGCGTGTGGTGTACGACTCGCAAGCAAAGAAGGGCGTTCCCGAGTTTCCCCGCGTGACTTTTCCCGAGGCCAGAGACCCTAAGACGGGCCACGAGAGCTCACAGGAGGGCCCCATGACCCATGACGGCCCAAGAGGGCCCCGAAGCGGCCCAATGGCGCTCCGAGACGGCCCAAGATGGCCCCAAACGCTGTCCAGTAAGACCCTATGAAGGTAAAGCTGTATGGCTTTCCTTCGCTTTTAAACGTGATTAGCGTTCTCGCCTTTTCGGTCTTCCCAAACTCCAACACCGTTCAAGAGGCCTCCAGTACCATCTCAAGACAGCTCCAAAGCGGGCCCCAAGACGACCTTACGAGGGGGAGCACGAACTGGCGTATCAAGCCCTTCGCCCCCAAAGTGGCATAGGATGACATCCAAGACCGCCAGCAAGTTGCCAATAAGCACAAGAGGCTCCCAAGAGTTCTCAATGTTGCGTAGCAGCCGGGTCGCTACCAATCGTCTTTACCCGAGGTGCCTGGAGGCAACCCCAGTAGGGCCGTAGCAGATGAAATCGGAAGATCGTACCGCATCTTTGATGCATCGGCGATGTCGGAATGAAGAGAATTTGGTTCTATATTGTTCCGCATCGCGGATGCATCGGCGAAGCAGTGCGACCCTCCAAGCCCAGCTGCTGTGGCACCTTCTAGGCCTGGAGTGCCGCTCCAAGACACATAGTTCACGAAGCCACGTTATGGGGCCGCAAGTTCCCCTTTGTCCTCGCACGAAATAAGATAGGGATAAAGGGCACCACAAAACTACGAGATTTTGGCGTCCTGCTAAGGCCGTGAACACTCAAAGGACGGGCAACAACTGTCCACACTCACTGGAACGCGCCAGTCTCTTACACGATAAATATCAAGCGCCAGCGGCGGTCTCGCGCTCATCCCGTCTCTATCCCCAGACCCCATTCACCCCGTCCCCCGCCCCTCTACCACTCGAAGAAAGGCTGATCCGACAACAGCAGTTCATAATCGACAAGTGTGCTAGAATGGCGATGACATCAGGCAACGCCTCAATCTGAGAGTATCGAGCTTCACGGAGGTCAGCAGCAGGAATGTCAACAAGAGCGGGTGTGGATACAAACATCATCTTCACATCAACGGTGCCACAATACTAGTCCCTAGGTAACTTGCATAATGTGCTTGGTCCCAGGCGGCCCAACCTTTAGCCCGACCGACGCCTGACCGATTCCACATCTCTGCGCACGCTGACTGTTCTTTCTGAATCGAGAGCGACGAAATACGTGCAGCGCGTTGCCGTCGAGCCTCCTCCGCGCCCTCTGCCGCAACAAGTGAGCGTGACTTGTATTCTCGGCGGCGAGCGAGGGGAGATGTGAGAATGAGAACGCCTGCTCAGAAGGCGGCGGGGCTTCTCAGAAGCCCTCGGGCCTTCTGAGAGGTGTTCTGTGTTTCGGGGACGGCTCAAACAACTTCTCAAAGGCCAGAGGACTGCCGCGACTTCTGAGAAAGCCCGCCCCTTCTCGCTCGCCGCTGGTACACGCGTCGATCGTCGATGCTAGCAAGATATACGGCGGGCTTCTGCCGTGGCGACTTATGCGCTGGTATCTGACACCTTGTGGACCGTTCAACCTTGAACGAACGCGGCTTTTTGAGGTACACTCTCATATGATGGTAATGATGTGCGGTAAGCATGCGAGGGTCTTAGAAGGGCATGCTGACACTTTTCGAGCGGGGCACGGCCAACGAAAGTGACCAAGGATGGGCCGGAGCGGCAAGGATGTAAAAGTACCCTTGGAACATCGATCATCCATACTATCAATGTCGACTGTAACGCAGATCGTTCGATGTCGACCGATGCCGGACAAATGGCCGCGTTCAATCTTGAACGCCTCCTCCAGGATCGCAGTCCCGTGCAACACTGTTGAAAAACACATGCCGATCCCAAGCAACGGTCTCCATGGTCCTCCCGCACCTGCGATCGCACCGCAACGGCCTCAACTTCTCCCACTCTCCCCTTCCACATGAAGGAAACTGAAACATTAGCAGATGGCAAAATCAATCCACATCGAATCGGGAAACCGGGTCGAGTCGGAATGTGCAGCGAGCGGATCGGGCTGCATCGGCACGGAGTCAAAATCGAATCGGATCGGCTGCACCAAGATGCACTCCTGCGACGTGTGAACAGCGGGCCGTATCGGATCGATGGATAATCGAGTCGGAATGGGCGCTGAATGGTAACGCGATGGCGGGGCGGGGACTCCGAAGGTCGGTCAACGAAGACCATCTTCACGTCCGAGGTGCCGCAGTACTTTTCCCAATGAGACTTGCGCGCCTCGCAATGCGCCTTTGTGAGATTTATGTCCTCCGCCCACCACCTGTTCCTCCACATGTGGTTCTTGTTGGGGTGCTTTGCGCAACCCGTGGGCAATTGCATGAAGCACCCAACGCCGTCTGGGTACGAGTCGATGATCAGGGACAGACCGTCCTGGCAGACACTCGAGTGCTTCGTGCAGGCTGCTCGAAACCATGCAAGACACGCTGCTCGAGGGCGGTCCACGCAGGCTGATGCTCGTCGCGCACCCGCAGGAGGAAAGCAGAATGAACACCCTGCGACTGTCGAATCATGACAGCGCTGAAAAGAAACTGGCGTTTGTTGAATTCTTCGGGAATCCGATCAAGAGGCTTGTTTATGGAGGGTTCTGGAAAGCCTGAGCCGAAACATGTTGGCAACTCTTGGGGGCGGGTGCTTTACTTCCGCCAGCGGAGCCGTGCTCGTTTCCAGTCCGCCGCCTTCCGCGGGGGAAGAGATGCCAGCACCTCCTATCCTCGCAGGCGAGGCCCTGTCTGGAACGAGCCATGTGCAAAAAAGGAGTGCATGGGGGTGGGGCAGGGCAAGGGGGGAAGACGGCGGACCAATGGGCATACCGTCTCCGACGAAGAAACTGTCGGCCGAGCCGGATGGCAGACATCGGTCGGGCGTGCTCACGGCTTACAGCAGATGCGCACGATACGAGCACTTGATGTAAGACATCTGGGGGCAGATTTGTTGCCGATATTTGAACTTACTGAAGTGTCCCAAAGGCTTCTGCCAACCGTTGACTGTACAACTCACGATATCCAGCAGTCACTAGAATCCTATGCAAAAGGGTCTGTGAAACAACGTGCAATGAGCACATCGAGATGTGAATCAATGCACCACAGGATGAATCTCAAGAAAATGTCCTGCTTTCCGGCCGTCTCCTTCAGCGAATGCATATCCTCCTTCTTGGCCTCCACCTCGGCATCCGCCTTGGCCGTTGCTTCCGCCCCCCCCTTGGCTTCGGATTGCGCCCTGGTCTTGGCGTCAACCTTAGCCACTTCCATGGCCTCCGTCTCCGCTCTGGCCCTGGCCTCCGCCTTCTCCTCGGCCTGTGCCTTCGCCTGAGCCTCCGCTTTGGCCTTGGACTCGGTCACCGCCTTTGCCTTGGTCTCGGCGCCTGCCTTCGCCTCAACTTTCGCCCTTGCCTTGGTCTCGCCCTTCGCTCTCTCTTGAGCCCTGGCAGTGGCCTCTGCCTTCACCTTCATCTCAGCCTCCGCTTTGGCCCTAGCCTCAGCCTCAGCCTTTGCCCGAGCCTCAACCTCGGCTTTCGCCTTCGCCTCCTCCTTCGCCTTGGCCTCAGCCTTGGCATCGGCCTCTGCCTTTGCCTTCATCTCAGCCTCCGCTTTGGCCCTAGCCTCAGCCTCAACCTTTGCCCGAGCCTCAACTTCGGCCTTCGTCTTCGCCTCCTCCTTCGCCTTGGCCTCAGCCTTGGCATCGGCCTCTGCCCGTGCCTTCATCTCAGCCTCCACTCTGGCCCTAGCTTCGGAGTCAGCTTTCGCCCGCGCATCAGCCTCGGCCTTCGCCTTCGCCTCCTCCTTTGCCTTGGCCTCAGCCTTGGCATCGGCCTCTGCCTGTGCCTTTAGCTTGATACCAACCTCCGCCTTGGCCCTAGCCTCGGCCTCAGCTTTCGCCCGTGCCTCAACCTCGATCTTCGTCTTCGCCTCCTCCTTCGCCTTGGCCTCAGCCTTGGCCTCGGCCTCTGCCTCTGCCTTGGCGTTGGCCTCGGCCTCCGCCTTGGCTCTGGCCTCGGCCACTGCCTTCGCCTCACGCAGGGCCTGCGCCTCAATCTCTGCCTCCGCCTTCTTCTTGGCCGCCTCCTTTTCCTTGGCCTCCGCCTCTGCCTTCTTCTCGGCCTCGGCCTCCGCCTTAGCTTTAGCGGCCGCCTCCTCCTTCGCCTTGGCCTGGGCGTAGGCCTTCGCATTCTCCTTAACCTCGGTTTCCGTCGTGGCTCTGGCTTTGGCCATCGCATGTACCTCTGCCATCTTCTTGGCCTCGGCCTCCACCTTCCTGACCTCGGCCTCCGCTTCGGCCGAGATCGTCAAGCTTGCCAACTCGTGCGCACTCGTGCTGCAAGGCGCCGAGCAATTTGCCTTACCGTTCCGGTGGAGATGGGCCTGCAGGTGGGCGTCAAATGCAGAGGGGAGGGCGGAAGGATGGAGGACAGGAAGAGCGGTGGAAGCCAATGTCGACCGACACACATTTCTTTGGAGGCTGTTGGCCCAGGGGTGTGCCCGGAGCTCCTAATGCTCGGATCTCTTGACCCACGGATGAACATCTTTGTCGGGCGTAGCCTCCGATTTCAGGGTCGGCGGGGGGGTGTTCTCTTGTGGCCGTCTAGAAATTAGGAACCCGCGTGGGGCATGTTGGGGCCCTATTGAGGCCGCCTGAGGCTCTCCTGGCACCTCCAAGTAAAATCCGCCGACCCTGTCGGCGTCTGTGAGGAGCTTGTCTGTTCGAGTCGTCGTCTCCGTCAGTCGTCGTCTCCGTCGTCCCCTTTCCCTGCACCCTCCTCCTCAAGCTTGTCAACGAGAGATTAATCTAGCAGTGTCGTAATCGAGTCGAAGGGAAGCCCCATCCATCTGATCCCTCCCCCGTTGGGGGGGGGGGGGGGGGGGGCGTCTGGGGGGGGTCTCGGGGGAGTCCCCGGGACCTCTCCCCCAGACGCCTACCCCCCCTCACGGGGGGGGTCTCGGGGGAGTCCCGGGGAGGGGTTCAGATACGCATCCCCCCCTGGGGGCCCCGGGGCCTCAGAAAGCACCAAGACAGGCCAAGAGCGCCCCACGAGGCCCCCGAGACAGTCCAATAGGGTCGTCAATCGCCAAACGATCGGTCCAAAACGCCTTCACGCCCTCCAGATTGCCCAGGAGGCCTCCAGGACACCCCAAGACGCTTCCGAGAGCACCCCCGAGAGGGCCCCAAGAGGCCAAAGTTCATTGAGCTTCCGTTGGGTCGTTATATATTCTTAAAGATTTGGGCGTTCTCGCCTTTTCCACTTCCCGCCGCTCCAAGACGGCACAAGAGGCCCCCAAGATCGCCCCAAGACAACCCAAGAGGCCTCCAAGACGGCACTAAGACAGCCAAAGAGGACCCCAAGACAGCCAAAAACGCTTCCAAGACGGCTCCAAGAGCGTACCCAAACGGGGGACCCGAGCGGACATTTCGAGCCCTCGGCCCCAAGAGGCTCCCAGGAGGCCCCAAGAGGTTCCCAAGAGGCCCCAAGAGGCCCAAAGAGGTCCCCAGGAAGCCCGAAGAGGCCACAAAGAGGCTCTCAAGAGGCCCCCGAGAGACTCCCAAGAGGTTTCACCATTCCTCCCCAGAGCCCCCGAGAGACTTCCGAAGAGATCTCAAGGAGCATCACTGAGAACTCTGGCCCACGTCAGCGTCGTCGTCATTGCCGCCGCCGCCGTTGTCGTCGTCGTCATCGTCGTCTCCCTTCAGGCTCGGCGGCACCGGCCGTAAGGCCCTGGCAATCCTGAGACCGGTTTGGGCATTTCCAGCCTCGGAGCATGTGGCTTGACGGGCTCTTGGGGTCCTCTAGCGACTGGGAGCGACATGTATGGCAGGAATCCTGTACACATACGAACTGATCCAATGATACACAGAAGGGGGAGAGAGACGGAGGGAGCGCAGAAGAAGCACAGAGATGCAAATACCTCGAGACACAAGACGAGAATGGTGGAAATTAGGGGCATGCCTGGCTCATGCTGAATACGGGCGCAAAGAACACCTAAGCTGCCGGTAACAAACACCGGAAGATAGTGGCAGGAACACAACGACAACAGGAGGGACACAGCATCGACGACTGGAGCAAATAAGACAGTGAAAGGTGTTAGCCTGAACCTCCGCGAAGCTGGCATTATTTGCGAGCCCGAAGTACCTGGTATGCGGCCAACTGCCGTGCAAAGAACCCGTTTGCCAACACCGTCATCCAGCTGGAACAAGGCAGACATACGCACGTACGCAACATGAACACAAAGTCGTGGTGGTGGTCGTCGTCGTCGTCATCCCTTCTATCGACCTCGCGGCCCATCCAGCCCCTAATGCAAGATCGCACTAGGATCGGCGCTGCCAATTAGGAAAGCACAGGACGGATGAACACGTACTCAGGAATACTGGACATGGGGAGCAGATGATAGCGGTGCGTGCAGAGTGCTCGCAGAACCGGACGTGCACTGGAGCAGATGTGCGCAGACCTCGAAGAGCATACCGACGAAGAATGCGAGGAGAAAAAGGGTAGCAGCGCAAAGGAACGTGAAGGGAGGCCAGAGCACTCCAGCTGTCTCGGTGCCGTCCGAGCAAGCAAACCAATGCTTGGGGAACCCTGTGCGCCCACACAAGTCACTCAGGCGAAGGGGCACTCTTACGCATACCCGACGCTACCCTGGCCGCAAAACATTCAAAACCGAAACTTCCTGAAATATTGCCCACAAATCCCTGACCTTCCGGAGGAGGAGGAGGAGGAGGAGGAGGAGGAGGAGGAGGAGGAGGAGGAGGAGGAGGGGAAAAGGAGGAGGAGGAGGAGGAGGAGCAGAAGGGAGGAGGAGGAGGGACGGGGGGGGAGGCGACGGGCGGACACCAGCTCGGATGCCTGCGCACGCCCTCGCTCTTGGCGTACATGACCGTGCGCCAGCACCAGTCCCCCTCCTTGGCATCCCTGCAGTTCTCCTCGCGCGCGGAGGGCCCCCCCCCCGCCTCCGCTTCCTCCTCCCTCCTCCTCTTCCTCTTCCTGCTCCTCCTTTGCAACCTCCTCCTCTCCTCCCTCCCTCACTCCCTCCCTCCCTCCCTCCCTCTCCTCTCCCTCCTCCTGTTCGTCCCTCATGTAGCCCTTCGCAAATTAAGCAATGTGCTTCTAGCAATGTACGTTCTACGATATAGCTTGTGCAACCTATATCGTGAAGTCCACCTGGAATGCATATGGTGCACTAAAAGATGTGCGCAATAGATGAAATAGGTGTTGTGGAATGGTTCGTGTACAACACATGGTGTGCAACGTATGTGGCGAAGTCGATGTGGTGCAGCTCATGTGGTGCAACATATGTGGCATCATATATGTTGTACAAGCCATGTGGTGCAACCAAGGCTGTGCAATTGTTGTGGTGCCATCTATTGTGTGCGCCCTACGTGGTGTGGTGAATCGATGGTGGTTGGATGTTGTTGTGAAGCATCCGCTGTGCAATCTGTGCTGTGACATATATAATGAACATGATATGCGAAGCAACCTATGCGGTGCAATCATCTACGTTGCCTATTTTGGAGAGATCCACCGCCGCTTTACTGTAGAAAATTGCCGCCCTTTTCCTCCGGGACCCGGGGTTTCCCCCCCCCCTTCGAAAATCCCCCCCCCCCCTGCTGGAACCCTCCCCCCCCCCCCCTTTCCCCCGGCAAACCCCCCCCCCTCCCCTAACCCCCCCCCGCCCCCTCGAGCTCGAAAACTGGGAAGGGGTCACTACCGGTTCGAACCCCCCCCCCTCGAAAACCGGATGGGGGGTCACCACTACCGGTTCGAACCACTGAGCTGTCCCACTGTTCCCACCACTGTCCCCGCTGTCCCTACCACTGTCCCCACTGTATTTCTGTCCCCTTGTCCCACCGCCGTCCTCGCCACCGCCTTCACCACTGTCCCCACCACCACTGTACCCTCCACTGTCCTACTGTTTCCACCACATTCCCACTGTCCCCACACCACTGTCCCCACCACCACCGTCCCCACCAGTCCCCACTGTTCCCACCATTGTCCTCACCATTGTCCCCACCACTACCGTCCCCACCTCTGTCCCACTGTCCCCACCACTGTCCCGCGGTCCCCTCACCACTGTCCCCACCACCACCGTCGCCACCACTGTCTGCACCCCCCCTCGGTTTTCGAGGGGGGGGGGGGGGTTCGAACCAGTAGTGACCCCCCCTGGTTTTCGAGCTCGAGGGGGGGGGGGGAGTTCGAACCAGTAGTGACCCCCCCCCTTTTCATGATGAACGGGGGGGGGGAGGGGTTCGAACCGGTAATGACCCCCCCCGGTTTTCCAGAGGGGGGGGGGGGACGGGTTCGAACCGGTAGTGACCCCCCACGGTTTTCCGCTAGCAGCGGTAGAACACGCTCTTTCCTATTTTGTGTAGTGCAGTCTATGCGGTGCAACCGATGTGGTTTCGACATCACCACGCGCGACCACCTCCCATGCTCGGGCCATCATCCCACCCACCCGCCCGCAAGTGGGTTTGCAAAACCCATGCGGCAGAAATTTGCGATGGCTGCTTGGCGCTGGATGGTGCATCGCTGTCGCCACGCTAGCGCGCGCAGGTCCGCGCGCAGAGCGGTCAGCTAATCCGGCTTGACCGACGCGGCCGCGATGGCGCTGAGCGCTGGGAGCTCCCCAGTGCGTCTTGCAGGCCGCACTGACGTGCGGGCACATCAAAGCGAGTCGGTGACTCGGGCGGGCGCGGTATCATGGCGACGTCCACAACAGCTCGCACGATGATGATAGCAGCCACATTGAAGGCGATACTGTCACTGACGGCTGCAAGAGCAATGACGGCACCGATGCTGATCACGCGGATGACGATGATGGTGTCCTCGCGTCGGTGATGAGGGTGTTTGAAGACTGTCAATATGCGCGCGCGGCCGACGCGCGCGACTGGCCCGCAGGGTGTCCGCCGACAGGGAGAATCCCCCCCAGCACCGCTGCAAGGGGCATTCGAATGATTTCGACATGCGCGCGCGAGAGGCACGTTTGGTAGCAGTTGGTGGCTATGGTAGGACACAGTATGTTTCATTTGAATTGTCAGAAACGCCTGCTGCGATACAACTATTGCCATATGAGTTCGGGACAGTCAGTTTCCAAATCCTTATAGCACCAACAATTGTTGAAGGAATCTCTCATGCGCTCGTAACGACGCACACGTTTGCATTGCGTTACCCTGTTGCAAGGAATTCTCGCGACAACACGCGCGAAAAAGCGTTCGAATGACTTCGGCGTGCGCCCGCGAAGGGCACATTTGGTCGAATGTGATGAGCATGCCAGAAACACCGATGGTGTTCTTAAACATTGGCAAGGGCGCGATCGCATGTTTGTGCTTTGGAAATCCCTGGTGCGAAACCTTTGTGTTTATCTGGTTTCTGAACACTCGTTTACGAAGTACGTACGCTAACTCAACTGATTGAACGACTTCGGGATGCGCGCGCGAAGACGCGCGCGTGTTTTTTATATCAAACCTTTGAAAGATGAGGAACGGTGCACATGTTTTTTCTTCTGCAGGGGATGTAAGTGGGTGTGTCGATACTGGTTTGGCTGGGATCCTACCTCACTTCTAGAACGAACGCGTGGAGCAACATCAAAGATTAACTATACATCCCCAGGGGGTGGGAATAATCTCAGGGGGGAGGTCCAAATTCTTATGCGGTGCAATCTCGGGCGGCGAAAGGACGGCGACGGCGACCACGGAGCCGCCAGACCGCCACGCAGGCCCACACGCTGGGCGGCGACGAGGCGGCGACGGGGCGACGACGGCGACCTCGGAGCCGCCAGACCGCCACGCAGGCGCAGAGGACGGGCGGCGACGAGGCGGCGACGGGGCGGCGACGGCGACCACAGAGCCGCAAGACCGCCACGCAGGCACAATTCCTTCGAAGACAAAAGTGCAAACACTGTTTGGGGAAAGTGGAGGTCAACCAAACGGGGCCAGAACTGACGGGGTTCAAAGATCGCACCGCGTTGCCGACGCATCCGCGGCGTCGGGACGGAGACAAATCGGCTTGCGCATCTCGCCGCATCGCCGTTACACCGACGATGCGCGTGACCCTGTGATCCCATCAGCTCCACTTTCTCAAACCAGTGCTCGCACTTAGGGCTTTTGTTTCGGTCTTGTGAGGGACTGTGCCTGCGTAGCGGTCTGGCGGTTCCGTGGTCGCCGTCGCCGCCCAGTCGTCGCCCCGTCTTCTGGAGACTATCGGGGGGCGCGCAAACATGGATTAGCCATCCATGGACTTGGCGCGCGCTCGCCAAATCCATGGATCGGGGGAGGTGCCCTGCCCAAAATGCGGCCAGTGCCGCCTCGGTCGGCGGCAGAAATCCACGATTTCCCATGGAAACGAGACCCGTCGCTAATCCACGCCCCATTGATCCATGTTTGCGATAGCCTGACACAAGGAGGCACGATCAAAAAAAGGACCGGGGCTCAGGCTGAGAACCGTCGAGCTGGAGTCGGCGACACATCGTCGATAGATCGGAAAGATGCGCTCTATGGTTGCGGCCGCACGATCATGGGCTGGGTGGCCTGTCGGGCTCTTATCGGCGATGAATGGTCGCTTGGGGGTCGATGCACCCCCCGGGGGAGGGATCCCCCTGAGCCTACCCCCCCCCCATGACGTTGCCCCTGAGAGAGGCCTCCACGGGCCGAACGAGTCGGGTGTGCGGTGACGCCGTCGGACGGCAGAGCACGGGAGAGTGGGGAGGGAATCGCGGAAGTGAAGACATCAATACATATGAAATGCCCGGGGCTGGGAAGCCCGACCGAAACCGAACAGCTCGATCGAACCGATGAATGCTGAGCACGGAGAACAACTAGCCAACGTTGGGAGGAAGGGCTGGTAAGACAACAGCCGTCAGCATATCGCCTAAACTCTGCTTAGGAATGGCACAAACTACGTAGAACATAGCGAATCCGAAACATTGAGATCGGTGGGGGTACAGATAGGCTTAACAACAGTAAACATAGAAACAATGCTTCGTCGGCAATGCTGAATTACTTTCGGGGTGCGGAAAAGGCCCGCACATGCTGCAAGATCGGATGCACATCCCCACGTAACTCTCCATACACCACCACTAAATGCCACGCGTGCACGCACAGTGCGATGCACAGTCTGGAAATGATCCAAACGTATGACCGCACGTGCTGCAGACTCGGAAAGGACCCAGGAAAGGAGCGGGGGAACGAGCGAGGGAAGAATGGAGGAGAAGGACGCGTGGCAGGTAGAGGGGACGGAGAAGAACGACACAGATAGCCAAAGATAGCCGGAGTCCAGCAGCCCCAAACCACGTAGCGTCTTTCCAACCTAGGTGGCCAGATCACCTCATGTGCAGCATCTCTGAGCCCAGAGGCGCGAGGATGTTTCGGGCGAAAATGGCTGGACCACCTCTCGTGCACGATCTCGGAACACGAAGTTGCAGTAATGACTCGGGCGAAACTGGCTGGACCTCTTCAGGTTTGGGCACCTCGCTGACCAGAATTGCCAGGACATCCCAAACGAAACCGGACCCACAACCTTAGGTCAGGGCACATTTTAGCTCAGAGTTGTGAGGATGTCTTGGGCGAAACTTGCCGGACCACCTTGCGCGCGGCATCTCGACGCCCAGCATTGCGAGGCTGTCTCAGGCGAAACAGGCTGGACCACCTCAGGTCAAGTCTCAAGCAAAACGGGCCAGACCATGTCGGGGAATGACATCTCTGCGTCCAGGATTGCGGGGCTGTCTGTGGCGAAACGTGCTGGACAACCCCAGGCCAGGGCGTCTCTCGTGAGGATGTCTCAAACAAAACAAGCCAGACCACTTCTCGCACGAGATCTCCGAGCCCAGAGTTGCGAGGGCGTCTCAGGCGCATCTGCCTGGACAACCTCGCGCGCAGCACAACCCGCAAACCCTGTCGGCGCGCGGCCCCCTTTCCCGGCGCCATCCTCAAGCTTGTCAGCGAGAGGAAGATCGAGCAATGTCGCAACCGAGTCGACGGGAAGCCCCAACTCTTTGATCCCTTCCCCGCGCCAGGGGGGGGGCCGTAAAGGCGCGCGAACGCCCCAGGGGTCCGTTCCCGTTCCCGTTCCCGTTCCCGTTCCCGCCGCAACATGCTGTCGGGCCCGCGAACGCCTTGCGGGGCAATGAAAATGATGATGCGCTGTGGCACGGGCATGAGTATTCGGAGGCAATCGTAGCACCTTGCTCACAGTCCTCCGCCTTGACCCCGTAAGCTCGGGGGGAGACCGAGACAGCGCGGATTGGGCTCTGGCTGCTCTCGCAACAGCTGGCAGGAACTTTGAGTGCCTCCTGCGTTGGTCCAGGGCCGCTTCCGCGTCGACCTGGGAAGATGAGGGAGGCGGGGAAGGGAGAGATGTGGCGGGTGGGGCAAGCCCGTCCTGAAGGCTCTGTTCGCTCTGCACCAAGGCAAGCATCTGCTCCTCGACGCGACTCGTAGCCTGCACGGCGCCGGGCTTCTCTAGCTTTGCCACACCTTGTCGTACCTACCCTAATCAGGCATTGCTCAACCTCCGCTTCACCTTGCCTTGCCTTGGCCCTGCCGTGCTTTGTGACGCCTGGCGTGGCCTTGCCGGGGATCGCCTTGCACCCAATGCCCATAATAAGATAGTATGTTCTGCTACTACGTCGTACAATGTCCGCCGTGCGCGAGACATCTCGCGCACCACAACGTCAAATTCGGCGAACCTGTACCGAAAACCGTGCGGACAACAACAGTTTAGATGTGCTTTGCCTTCCCATGCCCCAGCCTTCCCTCACTTGCCCTCGAGACTCGAGAATCTGGGATGTTGCCGAACACGATGAGGCAACTGTGAATCACAGTGCCTCTCCACGTAGTGACTCTCCCTCCCTATCCTTTCCTCTCTCCGTCTCTCTCTCACTTTCTCGGGCCACGACACGCGGTCGAGCCCCAGCGCACTTTTGAAGCGAATGGCCGTCGCCAACGCCTGTGACGCAGGCTCACATCCCGACTGTATTGCGACAGGAATCGAAGCTTACATTTTCGATCGGGCCACGCGCGAGGGCTTCGGACTGCTCTGAAGATCGATCAAAGCACCTGGCGCAAAGCGCGTTCAACGGCCTCGAAGGCGTGCAGACCAAAACGAAAGACCTCCCTCGGTTACCCGAAGTGTGGAGGGGGGGTGGGGCTCCGGATAACGGTAACGCTTGGGCGGGGTGGGGCACGCCTGAGCGGGGGTGCGCTGCGATCGCCACAGAATGCGCACGAATACCATCATGTAAGGCCAAGCCCTCCACCCCCACCTCACTTACGAGCGCAACCGTCATGCATGGGGGGGGGGGCTGGCCAGGGTAACGACCGTGACGCGCTCGAGGATACAAAACAATCGCGCGGGGAGGGGGGGCGCGCGCCCCGCCTGGTGGATGCCCTTGCCCGGGGCCGCGTCTGGCGGCGGTGCCTCTGCCGCGGTGCCGGCTGCCGCGTGCCCCTTCCATCTTTTGGGCCGACGGGGACGATGCGACTGGAACACCCATTCGGGGGTTGCTGAAGGTGGATGGGGCAACGTGAGGGGGGGCAGGCCCACTCCTCATGCTCTTCCCCCTCCCTCTTCCTCCCCCCTCCTCCTCCTGGCTCCTCCTCCAGCTCGTCCTCCCTCGTCCTCCTTCGACGAACAACTTCGAAAGGGATTCGCAAGGGGGGGGCACATGGGCACATCAAACTGGACTCGGCGATACATCGCTGATAGGTCGGCGATGTGCCCCCGATGGCGGATCCACACGCTCGTAGGCGGGGTAGGCTATCGGGCCCCTACCGGCGACCATTGGGCGACTCGGGGTCGATGCATCCCCTCTGAGCCGCTCCCCGCCCCCAGCGCTGCCCTTGACGACAATGACGTAGCCACTGAAGTCGCACATGAATTCACGGGAACACCCATTCGTCGGGTGTTGCTAGAAGTGGCCCTGGCCCGAGATGACCCCAGCTTTTCGCGCCGTCTGGGAACCTCTGGGGCCCCCTGGCCCTGGACTTCGTAAAGCGTGCTCTGGAAGCCGTGGGGTCCTTCATGGAAAGGACCACCTTTGGACAATGCCACTTCTAGCACCCTCTGATTCATGAGAATCCGATGGAACACCCACCAATACCTGCCGAGATACCCGCGAGAATCCATTTGAATACCTACATCGTGCAAGAAATGCTCTAGGTCCCGAGGGGACACCAACCCGGCTCCTTCAGACAGAGTGAGAGCTCCTGAGGCGAGCTTGGGGTTCATCGGCGAGTGAGATGCTTCCCTCTCCCAAAACCCGATTTGGAAGGGGGGGAACCGCTGGAACGCGGCACGGGGGGACAGAGGGCTTCAAAACAGCCGAAGAGGGGCCCAAGAGGCCCTCTGGACCGGACGGTCCAAGAGGGTCACGAGCCGCCGAAAGATCGATCCACAACGCTCAGGCTGGCCTCCATACCGCCCAAGAGGCCCCCGAGACGCCCCAAGAAGCCCCCTATGAGGCGTCCCAACACGGCCTCAAAGAGCAAACATCGTTCCATGCTCTTTTGAGCATTCGCCTGTTGTGCGTTCACAACGTCCAAGACGGCCCAAAAAACCTTCCAGATCGCCACAAGACGGCCCAAGAGGCCCTCAAGAGGGCTCCCAAACGACCCAAGAGGCCCTCAAGACCGCCCAAGCAGCACTCAAGGCGGCCCAGGGGGGCCCCAGGACAGCCCCAAGAGGGGGCCCAGGGGGGGGAGCCCAAACGAACATTTCGAGCCTTCGACCCCAAGACGCTCCCCGTTTGCCCAAAGACGCTCCCAAGAGGCCCCCAGGGAGCTCCAACAGGTCGCCCTCGCCCTCGCCGTCGCTCGCCGCCGCTCGTCGAGGCCGCCGCAGCCGCCCTCGCCGCCCCCGCGCCCCAGAAGCGTCCCTTCGAAGGGAAGCTGCGGCACAAAATGGGCGCCCAGACCGCGCACCTGCACGCGCAAGGACCAGCGCCCTGCCCGTGCCGGAGGCGTGCCTACCAAGGGCGAGCCCTTGCGCGCGAATGCCGCCCTCGCCGCCAGCCTCTTGGGCCGTCTTGAGGCCTTCAAGAAGCCACCAAGAGGCCCCCGAAGGGGTTCAACAACTCTCCTGCAAACGCCCCCGAGACGCCTCCCACGAGTCACCATCTGCCACCCGAGTGGCCTCAGACCCGCAGCCCAGGCACGGTGGCGGGATGTGCCGAGGGCCATTCAAGAATCATTATTGTTTGTATTTTGCCACAATCCCGCCGTCTGTAAACATGGGTTGTCGCCAGTTCCCCCATGCGTGCACGGCGAACTCTAAAAATGCCAGCTGCAAAAATCACTACTGCCGGTGCGGGTGGTGCTGCGATTGCCGGGGGCCTCGGAGCACACATTTCGAGCCCTCGGCCCCCCGAGGCCCCCAAGAAGCCTCCACGAAGCTCCAGGAGGCCCCAGAGAGACCCCATGACGCGCCCAAAAGGGCACAGAGAAACTCCAAAAAATTCGCAAAAGGCCCTCAAGAACAACACACCACAACTGCCAGTCCGGCAAGGGGCCGGCGGTGTGGCGTAAGCCCGAAATCTGCACATGAGCACGCACATGGCTGGGACATGCACGCGCGTGCGATTGAGCGCATGTATGCGTACCCGTACACGTGTGCCACTACGTGCATGTCTGAAGGCGTATATTCGTGCATAGTCACGCGCGCGCGCGATTGAGTGCAAGTACGCCTGCACACGCACGAGCGCAAAAGACTCGCACACGCACGCGCGTGCGCGCACAACGACGCATATTCACACCACGGCAAACCGATAAAGAGCGATGCAGTCGACTACACGAGGTGGTGGCCGATGCCCACCAACTGTATGGGTTGAGGTGACTTAGTGCATTTTCATCCGTCCATCACCCATGCTTCTTTCTTTCGGGAAAAAAAGGTTAGCCCGACCCTTTCTTATTATTGAAACCCTCCTCCACCCGACCGGCGACAAACCTGGGTCAATCAAGCACCCCCCGACACCCGTGTCAAAAACAATACGGCATTAACTCTGCGGCACAATATTGAGTCATGGTCGGGGGCCCCGCATGCATGCCCTAGCCATAGATTTGTGTTGTGTGTTCGCGTTGAAGAGACAGCGCACCGCGTCTCTCTCCTTGTATGTTCCTCTTTCGCCTCCTTTTATCCAATCCTTGCCGTTGATCTCCGCATGTCAACCTTTTTTCGGCACGCCCCTCACGAGAACCGTGGCCCCATAGGGAGCTCCACCGAAGGCTCCAGCGGCAGGGTTCGCATGACGGCCTCTGGCGATGTCGGAACACGCCCCACGAAAATCGTGGCCCCATACGGAGCTCCACCGACGGCCCCAGTGGCAGGACTCGCAGGGCGGCCTCGGGCGACTTTGGCACAGCCCTCACGAGGATCGTGGCCCCATAGGGAGCTACACTGAAGGTCCCAGTAGCAGGGTTCATATGGTGGCCTCCGGCGATGTCAACGCAAGCGCGCTTCGGGGCTCCACTCCGCGTCGTCCCCAGCTCCATCCCTCTCACGGCGCGTTACGTGTGATGAAAAGGGTATCTCCTGCGGCGCTCGCCGCTGCATGTGGTTGGGTCCTTCGCCAGGCGAATGTTAAATTGCTTGGGCGCGGTAAGCACAACGCGGGCGCCAAGCAGGCTGATCTGCACTTCGTGGCGAAGTCTGGATCATGCGTAGACACCTCGTGGTCACGTTGCGTTTTCTGTTGGTAAAGACGGACGGGGTGCTAACATATAGCACGATGTGTTGGCCCACCAGACATCATGATGGCCACTCAGACGCGATTGCGCATCGGCTCTCGACGAGGATGCTAGAAGGCCCCGAAGAGGATCCCAATAGGCCCCCCAAAGACCCCCTAAGCGGCATTTCGCGGCCCCGGAAAAAATTATCCTGGCGAAAGACCCAACCATATGCAATTGTGAGTGCCGCAATTGTGAGTACCTTCTTCGGTGGCGCTCCGTATGGGGCCACGAACCGCATGAGGGGCATGCCGAAACATGGCGGGGTACACAACGCAAAGGAATGAGATAGGTCAGATTACGAAAGAATGAACGCGGGTGAGCCAGAGCGCGAGAGAGTCTGAGTGTGAATGGGTATGCGTGGGAGTGAGTATATTTGCACGAATGCGATCTTGGTTACGCCTAGTGTAAATGTATATGAATGTGAATGGCTCGAGCGCGCCTGTCCGAACACTCGTGACACTGGGCGTGGCCGCCGCAGGCAGCTTCCGCGGGAACCCCGACGGCAGCGCCCGCGCGCCGCGACGCCCATGTCGGCACGCCCCTCACGGGGATCGCACCCGCTTCCGCCCCTTTTTTTCCCCCCTCTTTGCCTGCGCGCTCCAAAAATCCAAAGCTGCGGGCGCAGAGCAGCGCGGAGTCCCCGCGACGCGCGCAGGTCGCCGCGGAGGGGCCCCAGCGACGCGCGCAGGTCGTCCGCTGCGCGGAGCACAGAGAGCTAGCCGGCCGGCTGATTGCGGGCAAGGCTCCGGCCGCTGGGCAGAGCGACGACGGGCGAGCGAGGCGCTGAGCAGAGCGCCGCGCGGAATCCCCGCGACGCGCGCTGGTCGCCCCGAGAGGGTCCCAGCGACCGAGCTCCCTGGCGAGGGCCGTCGCCTCCCTCCTGCACCGCTTCGTGCGCGCTGCAAGCTGCTCCAGCTGCTTTCGCAGGCCCTCCGGCGGTCCTGCCAGGAAAAACTCGATGCGCGGCGCCCGCATGAGCAGGAGGTCCTCGTGGCGCGTGGCGCGCGAGAGCAGCACATAGAGCTCCAGCCACCAGTCGTCGTCCTCCTTCTTGCCGTTCCCGACCTCGTGGCGGCCGCAGTCCAGGATCACGCCCCATGGGGCGGCAAAAAGGGGCGAAGCCAAAAAAGGGGCGGTGGCGCCATGCGAGCTGCGCCACTTGGACCTCAGGTGGAGCTCCCTGAGGGGCCACGAAATCTCTGGGGTGTGTGCCAAAATGGGGCGGTGGCGCCATGCGAGCTGCGCCACTTGGACCGTAAATGGAGCTCCCTATGGGGCCACGAAACGTGTGAGGGGTGTGCCAAAAAGGGACGGTGGCGCCATGCGAGCTGCGCCACGTGGACCTTAGGTGGAACTCCCTATGGGGCCACGAAACGTGTGAGGGGTGTGCCAAAAGGAGCCCCCTGAGGGGCCACGAAATCTGTGAGGGGTGTGCCAAAATGGGGCGGTGGCGCCATGCGAGCTGCGCCACTTGGACCTCAGGTGGAGCTCCCTGAGGGGCCACGAAACGTGTGAGGGGTGTGCCAAAATGGGGCGGTGGCGCCATGCGAGCTGCGCCACTTGGACCGTAAATGGAGCTCCCTATGGGGCCACGAAACGTGTGAGGGGTGTGCCAAAATGGGCGTGCGGGACGCATGCGGGCACACCCACTGGGACCTTCGGTGGAGCTCCGTATGGGGCCACGAAACGTGCGATGATGGCGACGAGGACAACGATGATGGTGATGACGACGATGATGGTGATGATGACGATGATGGTTATGGCGGCCATGATGTTGATGCTGATGACGATGATGATGATAATGCTGATGATAATGCTGATGATGACGATGATGATGATGATGATGACGATGAGGATGATAGGAGGGGAGAGGAGGCGGAGGAGGAGAGGAGGAAGGAGACGCGGGGCTCCGTCTCTTCAAAACGAAGACCCAACACCACAGGATGGTTGGGGAAAAAAGACCCCTCAAAGGCACCCAAGGCGCCCGCGGAGGCCCAAGAGGCGCACATGAAGCCCCAAACGGCCTTAGAATATACCCCAAGAGGCCTCCACGCGGCCCCCAAGAGACACCCCCAGAAACTCCGAGAGGCATCCAAGAGGCCTCTGGCCCACAGGGGCTCCCCGAACTCTCCAAATGACGCCACGCTCCCGTCATAGAGGTAGCTCCGTGGACATCGTCCTCGGATGAACTGGTCTGGATACGTTTTAGTGCGCGGGCTCGCGAAGCAGGTCGAAAGCCGGCCAGAGCTAGGGCTGGCCGCGCCGAAGCAAGCGAAACGAATAGTAATGGGCAGCACCTGGCGCACAAGCGGGCTCATCCTGTGACCCACGTGCACAAAAGTGCCAACAGGACCGTGCGAGGTGGTGTGGGAGAGCGACCCCACACCAGGGAAGGTGACGCCCCGGGGTGCACGTGCCGAGGACGGTGTCCGACAGCGCCACGAATACCCAGCACACGACGGTGACCAGAAGAGAGAAACAGGCGTCCATTGGCATGCGCCCCAGGTAAGTTGCCGAACACGAAGTCCTGGACCCAGAGGGCCTTCACGATGTGGAACGAGCAAGCGAACCAGGACGAGCAGCGTGACGAACTCCGAGAGACGGGCGCGATCAACGCGGTACTAGCGTCAAGCGGGTGCCGCTGGTCGGGAAACGCGAAGCGTTAAGACTTCAAGCGCGTACGAGCGACAGCACCACGCGTACATACAAATAAGCAGTACGCTTCATCGTCCTCTTCATCATGACCATTGTCCCCCTCCCCTCGCCCTCCTGGTTCTCCTCCTCCAACTGGTTCTCCCGCTGCCGCTCTTCCTCGGTGACCGTGCTTCTGCCCAGGACTCCGTCTAGCAGAACTAGAAAACTATGCCCCCGCCAATAACGCGACAAGTTGGGGGCGCGCGCAAGGGGGTGGCGCGAGGGGGGTGACCTTCGAAGAAGGCGGGGTGCTTGTCGGAAAGCCTGGGCCTTCTTAGAAGGGCCTGGAAGCTTTTTAGAAGGCTTCGAATAGGCCCACCCCCGCCTTCTTAGAAGCTCCCCCGAGCTTCTCCGCAGGCCGCCTCCCTCGCGCCACCCTCTCGTGCACGCCGCCAGGTGGATGCAGTCAGCGAGCGCCTCAGACCGAGGCTCTGCGGGTTGGGCGGGCTGCACGGGCACGAACAACATCTTGGCATCGCGGACGGCGCAAAGCCTGTTCCAGTAGTGCCTGCGCGCCTTCCGGAGAAACACAAGTGGCACGAGAATGCATTGACAGAAGTCCGCGCGGATTGCTCGGATCGGCGCCAGGCCGCTAGACCCCCGTTTTAGGGGGTACCCAAAACGGTGCGGTGACAGACAATGCGGTAACTTCGAAACCCCAAGAGGCCTCACCGCACGGTCCGTTCACCGCACGGTCTCGGGACCCTGGGAGGCCCCAACCACCCGAGGCATCCACGGAACATGACCCAGATCCCAATTTTTTTGAGCCGGATCCGGCTTCAAAAACATGCAGTTCTCTGAGGCCGATTTGAGTACAGCGCCGAAGCAGGGCAGCAGCAAGCACGGAGTAGGTTGCACCCTCTTTTCTCCGCAGCCTGTTGGATCAGGATTTAAGCCCGACAGGGGCCCACCTGAACCAGGCCTAGCGCTTGAGAAAACATCCATCTCAGATGATCCCCACTGCCTCAACACACGGTGTGGTCACCGCGAGGCTTGGGGGCCCCCGACTCCTCCCTGTCGCACGGACCGCGCTGGGAGGCGGCGCCCGAGGTGCCGATCCAAGAAAGCCGCGCGGATCCCGGAAAGGTTGTGCTCCTGCAGCTTTGCCTTCTTCGAGCCTTGCACGCTGCCTCCGTGGCGTTGCCGCCCTCGGCCCACCGATCATGCTGCCATAAGCCTCTCCCCACGCGGTGAGCCTTGCACCCGCTGGGCACGCGCACGAAGCAGCCGGGGTGCACGGGGAGCCCGGGGGCGGCCGTGCCGAGCGCCGCCTTGCTGCGGGCAGGAGGGGTCAGGGGAGGGCGAGTGGAGGAGCTGTTTTGCGTCGGCGGCTAGGCAAGGGGGGGTCGTCTGCGCTGGCGGAAGGAGCTGGCAACGAATCGACCAGCATGCAAGGAGCGGAAAAACGGGACAGGACGGGCGGCCGCAGAGGGGGGGAGGCGAGGCGAGGGCCACTCAGGGCGGACGGATCGAGCAGAGGGAGAACAGGCCACGGGAGCATGATTTCGGAGGCAGGCGCGGATTTCTCGGGTCGGCGTTGGGCCTGCATCCCTGGCGCGATCCGCGCGTCAGGAGCGGCGCCGGAGGCGCCGCCAGGCCGATCCAAGAGATCCGCTCGGATCAGCAGCAACTCATAACTTGTTTGTATTATTCTCTGGACGTTTATGCTATGTCCTCCTGCCTGAGCGAGGGAAGCAGCAGGGCCGTAGAAAGCGAGCAGAGGTCCGACAGCGATGGCGAGGGCAGTGCCGGACAGCGGTTGGCAATTCGAAGGTTGGGGGCCCGATGCGAGGAGGCCTGAAAGCGGGCATGCCTCGAACAATGCACACGAGATTCGACAGCGAGGATGAGGGCAGGGCCGAGGGTGAGGGCAGGGCCGAATAGCGATTGGTACTTCGAAAATTGGGGGCCCGAGGCGAGGGGGCCTGAAAGGCGAGGAGGCCTGAAAGGCGAGGAGGCCTCGAACAATTCAAGCTCAACCTGGGAGCCCTTTCCTGTCATTGGGGCCCCATCCTTCAGGACCCTATGTTCGAGACACCGAGTTGAGGGAATGGAGGAAGAGGATGATTGGGACCGATGGTTTACGGAGGACTCAGCTCCCCTCTCCCCTCTTCCCCCCCCGCCCTCGAGACAAAAACGAAGAGTCGACTGCTTGTGCCCCTCGGTAGAGCATTTTGCCTCGGCAGTTTGCCCTCTTCCTGGGCAGGAACGCAAGCACGGTCCCATTGGGGCTGATGCGCCACTCTGTGCCCCGCAAACCGCCTGCTCGAACCTTTCGGTGATCACGGCGTGGGAGGGAACGGATGCGTGGCCGCGCCAACCCTTATTTCCCAACCATCCTGTAGTGTTGGGTCCTCGTGTTGATGAGACAATGCCCCGCGTTCCTTTATCTTCTCCACCCTCTTCCTCCTCCTCCTCCTCCTCCTCCTCCTCCTCCTCCTCCTCCTCCTCCCTCTCCTCGTTTCTCCCATCCTGAGGCATCGACCCGTTTCAGGTTCCACAATCACCCTGGAACGGTTCCGGGAAGAAAATTGGAACCTGAAACGGGTGATTTTCCATCTGGGCGCTCTCGGGAGCCTTGCGGGCGCATCTCGGGGATGGGGGGAAGTGCGCCCGAGCTCCCAAAATTGTCATTTTCCAAATGAAATATCTTATTCGGGGGCTTGTTTTTCGCGGCTGGGCTCTGCCGCGCAGCGTCGGGAGGTCCCACATGGATTTTCACCCCGGAACCGTTCCAGTGTGAAAATCCATCTGGAACCCTCTCCCGACTCAAAACGGCTCTGTCGGGGATGGGGGGGGGCGAACCCGAGCTCCCAAAATGGCAATTTTCCAAATGAAATCTCTTTTGGGGGGGCTTGTTTTTCGCGGCTGGGCTCTGCCGCGCAGCGTCGGGAGGTCCCAAATGGATTTTCACCCCGGAACCTTTCAGGGTGAAATCCTCTGGAAACCCTCTCCCCGACGCAAACGGCCTCTGTCGGGGATGGAGGGGGGTGAACCCTAGCTCCCAGAAATGGCTAAGCTTTCCCAAATCAATTTCCTGATTGGGGAACTTTGCTTTTCGCGGCTGGGCTCCCCGCGCAGCGCGGGAGGTCCGGCAGCGTCGGGAGGTCCCAGATGGATTTTCACCCCGGAACCGTTCCAGGGTGATGGGAGGGGGGTGTACCCGAGCTCCCAAAATAGCAATTTTCCAAATGAGATCTCTGATTGGGGGCTTGTTTTTCGCGGCTGGGCCCTCCCGCGCAGCGTCGGGAGGTCCCAAATAGATTTTCACCCCGGAACCGTTCCAGGGTGAATATCCAACGGGAACCCCCTCCCGACGCAAAACGGCTCTGTCGGGAACGGGGGGGGTGCACCCGAGCTCCACAAATGGCCATTTTCCAAATGATATCTCTTATTGGAAAGCTTGTTTTCGCGGCTGGGTTCTGCCGCGCAGCGTCGGGAGGTCCCAGATGGATTTTCACCCCGGAACCGTTCCAGGTGAAATCCATCAGAAAACCCTCTCCCGACGCAAAACGGCCTCTGTCGGGGATGGGGGGAAGTGCACCCGAGCTCCCGAAATGCTCATTTTCCAAATGAAATCTCTTATTGGGGAGCTTGTTTTTCGCGGCTGGGCCCTCCCGCGCAGCGTCGGGAGGTTCCAGATGGACTTTCACCCAGGAACCGTTCCAGCGTGAAAATCCATGTGGAACCCTCTCCCGACGCAAAACGGCTCTGTCAGGGATGGGAGGGGGTGTACCCGAGCTCCCAAAATGGTAATTTTCCAAATGAAATCTCTTCTTGGGGAGCTTGTTTTTCGCAGCTGGGCCCTTCCGCGCAGCGTCGGGGGGTCCCAAATGGATTTTCACCCCGGAACCGTTCCAGCGTGAAAATCCATCTGGAACCCTCTCCCAACGCAAAACAGCTCTGTCGGGGATGGGGGGGGGCGCACCCGAGCTCCCAAAATGGCCATTTTCCAAATGATATCTCTTATTGGGGAGCTTGTTTTTCGCGGCTGGGCTCTGCCACGCAGCGTCGAGAGGTCGCAGGTGGATTTTCACCCCGGAACCGTTCCAGGGTGAAAATCCATCTGGAACCCTCTCCCAACGCAAAACGTCTCTGTCAGGGACGGGGAGCGCCCGAGCTCTCAAAATAGTCATTTTCCAAATGAAATCTCTGATTGGGGAGCTTGTTTTTCGCGGCTGGGCTCTGCCGCGCAGCGCCGGGAGGTCCAGATAAATTTTCACACCGGAACCGTTCCAGGGTGAAAATCCATCTGGAACCCTCTCCCGACGCAAAACGGCTCTGTCGGGGATGGGGGGGGGTACCCGAGCTCCCAAAATGGCAATTTTCCAAATGAAATCTCTGATTGGGGAGCTTGTTTTTCGCGGCTGGGCCCTGCCGCGCAGCGTCGGGAGGTCCCAGATGGATTTTCACCCCGGAACCGTTCCAGGGTGAAAATCCATCTGGAACCCTCTCCCGACGCAAAACGGCTCTGTCGGGGATGGGGGGGGTGTACCCGAGCTCCCAAAAAAATTTTCCAAATGAAATCTCTTATTGGGGAGCTTGTTTTTCGCGGCTGGGCCCTCCCGCGCAGCGTCGGGAGGTTCCAGATGGATTTTCACCCCGGAACCGTTCCAGGGTGAAAATCCATCTGGAACCCTCTCCCGACGCAAAACGGCTCTGTCGGGGATGGGGGGGGTGTGCCCGAGCTCCCAAAATTGCCATTTTCCAAATGAAATCTCTTATTTGGGAGTTTGTTTTTCGCGGCTGGGCCCTGCCGCGGAGCGTCGGGAGGGAGGTTCCAAATGGATTGTCGCCCCAAGGTGAAAATCCATTTGGAACCCCTTCCCGACGCAAAACGGCTCTGTCGGGGATGAGGGGGGGGTGTACTCGAGCTCCCAGAAAGGCAATTTTCCAAATGACATATCTTATTGGGGAGCTTGTTTTTCGCGGCTGGGCCCTCCCGCGGAGCGTCGGGAGGGAGGTTCCAAATGGATTTTCACCCCGGAACCGTTCCAGGGTGAAAATCCATCTGGAACCCTCTCTCGATGCAAAACGGCTCTGTCGGGGATGGGGGGGGGTGCCCAAGCTCCCAAAATGGCCATTTTACACATGAAATCTCTTATTGGGGAGTTTGTTTTTCGCGGCTGGGCCCTGCCGCGCAGCGTCGGGAGGTTCCAAATGGATTTTTTCACCCCGGAACCGTTCCAGGGTGAAAATCCATCTGGAACCCTCTCCCGACGCAAAACGGCTCTGTCGGGGACGGAAGGGGGCGCGCCCACGCTCCCAAAATGGCAATTTTTCAAATGAAATCTCTTATTGGAGAGCTCGTTTTTCGCGGCTGGGACCTGCCGCGCAGCGTCGAGAGGTTCCAGATGGATTGTCACCCCGGAACCGTTCCAGGGTGAAAATCCATCTGAAACCCTCTCCCGACGCAAAACGGCTCTGTCGGGGATGGGAGGGGGGGTGCGCCCGAGCTCCCAAAATGGCAATTTTCCAAATGAAATCTCTGATTGGGGAGCTTGTTTTTTGCTGCTGGGCCCTCCCGCGCAGCGTCGAGAGGTCCCAGATGGATTTTCACCCCGGAACCGTTCCAGGGTGAAAATCCATCTGGAACCCCTTCCCGACGCAAAACGGCTCTGTCGGGGATGGGGGGGGGGGGTGCCCGAGCTCCCAAAATGGCCATCTTCCAAATGAAATATCTTATTGGGGAGCTTGTTTTTCGCGGCTGGGTCCTCCCGCGCAGCGTCGAAAAGTTCCAAATGGATTTTCACCCCGGAACCGTTCCAGGGTGAAAATCCATCTGGAACCCCCTCCCGACGCAAAACGGCTCTCTTGGTGGTTTCTGTGAGGAGCCCAATCAGAGCTTCTGTAAGGAGTCCAGCGAGGGCTTCTGCCAGGAGCCCAGTGAAGGCTTCTGCAAGGAGCCCAGTGAGGGCTTCTGCAAGGAGCCCAGTGAGGGCTTCTGCAAGGAGCCCAGTGAGGGCTTCTGTAAGGAGGCCACTAAGGGCTTCTGCAAGGAGCCCACTAAGGGCTTCTTTAAGGAGCCCACTGAGGGCTTCTGTGAGGAGCCCTCTAAGGGCTTCTGGAAGGAGCCCACTAAGGGCTTCTGAAAGGAGTCCCGTAAGGGCTTTTTACACGGGCCCAGGAAGGAGCTGAGAGAAGCCTTCTGGGAGGAGCTCAAAATGGGTCCAGATGGGTTTTCACCCCGGAACGGTTCCAGGGTGATTCCAGAACCTGAAACGGTCAGTGTCAAGCTTCCAGAATCACCCCGGAACGGTTCCAGGTGATT